TTTTATCTTATGGGCGCTGTGAACGTGAGCACTGATTGTGTTTCTCTCTTGCTTTGGTTGCTAGGAAACCCAGGACAAGGTGCAGACTGCATGGAGGAACTGCACTGGACCATTGGACAAACATTCACAGCTAACTTTACCGCTATGGTCACGTTCTTATCACTTTCTTGCAGACTTCCTCCTTCTCTTTCTATTTCCCTCCCCTGATTTTTTTTAACCCCACCTTGCTTGCTTCCTCTCTTTCTTTTTTTCTCTTGAGTTAACATCCATTGAGAGCATGTGCTGTATGCCTGGCACTGTGTTTAGTGCCGGGCATACAGCCATCATCACTCCCCAAAGAGCCCCCATTTGTTTGAGCTCAGAGACCTCCCCACGGAACACACCAACAGCTTTCTTCTCACATGCCAGCTGGGCCTACCTGCTGGCTCTGATCAAGGCATAACTGATGAACACCCTCCAGCCAATGCTCTATGAATATTATTTCACATAATAATGTTTTAACCCCAATGAGGCAAGAGGGGGTTTGCAATTATAGTGACTGGCAAGAGAGAAGAAATATTCTGTGTTGCTGGGGGCAGACTATTATGGTGTGACAGGCAAACAAATGGAGGGTATGTTGCTCCAGCTGCTTTGGCTCAGTGGATAGAGCGTCGGCCTGCGGATCAAAAGGGTCCTGGGTTCGATTCTGTTCAAGAGCACATGCCCGGGTTGTGGGCTGGATTCCCAGTAGGGGGCGTGCAGGAGGCAGCTGAGCAATGATTCTCTCTCATCATTGATGTTTCTGTCTCTCTCTGTTCCTCTCCCTTCCTCTCTGAAATTTAAAAAATTTTTTTTCTAAAACACACACACACATACACACACACACACACACACACACACACAATAGCCATATTAAAAGCTGCAGCCTTTGTCAGGGCACTCATGGTTACAGAAGACAAACCTAGCATTTAATGCAACTTAGTGCTTAGAGTTGTTTACTGTGTTTTGAGTACACTGGTCACTGTGTGGTCCCTTCTCTGGACAGGATCCTAGTGATCTACCCACCAAGGCAGGTCACCTGTTCTGTCCCTATACACTCCATGGATCTATCAGTCTGACTGCCCCTTGCATATACATCTAGAGCAGTGGTTCTCAACCTGTGGGTCGCGATCCCTTTGGCGGTCAAATGACCCCTTCACAGGGCTCGCCTAAGACCATCCTGCATATCAGATATTTACATGACGATTCATCACAGTAGCAACATTACAGTTATGAAGTAGCCACGAAAATAATTTTATGGTTGGGTCACAACCTGAGGAACTGTATTTAAAGGGCCAGAAGGTTGAGAACCACTGATCTAGAGTGTGTAGCCTTTCATAAGAACACAAACACAACTTTTCTCAGAAGGATTAAAGAACGGGAAACGTGCCCTGGCTGGTTTGGCTCAGTAGATAGAGCCTCCGGCTGCAGACTGAAGGGTCCTGGGTTTGATTCCCATCAAGGGCACATGCCTGGGTTTCGGTCTTGATCCCCAGAAGGGGGTGTGCAGGAGGCAGCCAATCAAGGATTCTCTCTCATCATTAATGTTTCTCTCTCTCTCCTTTCCTCTCTGAAATCAATAAAAATATATTTAAAAAAAAAAAAGAATGGGAAACAAGCGTGTGAGGAGGGGAAGAGGAGAGAGCGAGCCATGGCCTGGAGGCTAGAGAGAGAAGTGGGGGCCGACTTCCACTTTATTCTCCTGGGAGAGACTTATGGGGTGCACTTCCCTGCCCAGCGGCGAGTTCTGCTTTCACTTCCTCTCCACGACAGAAACAGGCATGGTGAAGGGCCCTTGTATTTGATTCCTGGATCAGTCAATTATGTTTGAATTGACACAACAGAGAACTGTGTCTTTCTCTTCAGGGAATGGGCAGTGTGCGGCCCTCTATGTTTCTATTTTTGCCTCTGGGAAGCTTGGAGTCAAAAGTTCACAGCTAGCCGAGACCGGTTTGGCTCAGTGGATAGAGCGTCGGCCTGCGGACTGAGGGGTCCCGGGTTCGATTCCGGTCAGGGGCATGTACCTTGGTTGCGGGTGCATCCCCGGTGGGGAGTGTGCAGGAGGCAGCTGATTGATCTCTCTCATCGATGTTTCTAGCTCTCTGTCCCTCTCCCTTATTCTCTGTGGAAAATCAATAAAATATATTTAAAAAAAAAAAGTTCACAGCTATACTATCAGCCTTCATGGCTTGCAAGATTGGGGCTCTTGAAATCCCCCCCCCCACAAAAATCAATCAAACAACTTTATTGCCTGAATGCCTTGTATTTTATTGTTGTTGTTAATTCTCACCGAGGATAGTTTTCCATTGATTTTTAGAGAGAGTGGAAGGGAGGGAAGGAGAGACAAAGAGAAACATCGATGTGAGAGAGACACATCGATGGGTTGCTTCCTGCACGCACCCCGACCAGGGCAGGGGAACTTACAACAAGGTGGTGCCCTTGACTGGAATTGAACCCGGGACCTGGGACCCTTCAATCCATGAGCTGACGTTCTATCCACGGAGCCAAACCAGCTAGGGCTAAATGCCTTGTAGGTTGAGTCATATTCAACCCTTTTCAAGCGAGTAGGAATTTAGTAATTGCTAATCTGTACAGAGCAGAACTCCAGAGAGGCCTCAGCCTCCTGGGCAATGAGTGAGTCACCTGGCCAGCTCTGTAGTGTGTCCACCCACCATTTCTACGGTGCCCAACATGGTGCTTCGCTGCTGGTTGGCTGTGGCAACCAGGGTAAAGTGACTTAACATCAGAAAACCTGAATTCAAATTCACCCTCTTTCTCTTCTTAGCCCTTTGACATTGGGCGAATCCTCTCATCTCTTTGAGCTCCCATTTCTTCATCCACAGGGAGCTGTTGTGAGGGTCAAAGGAGATAATGTCGGTGGAATTACTTTTTTTTTTTTTAAATATATTCCATTGATCCTCTAGAGAGAGGAAGGGAGAGAGATAGAGAGTTAGAAACATCGATGAGAGAGAAACATCTATCAGCTGCCTCCTGCACATCTCCTACTGGGGATATGCCCACAACCCAGGTACATGCCCCCGACCGGAATCGAACCTGGGACCCTTCAGTCTGCAGGCCAACGCTCTATCCACTGAGCCAAACCAGTTCCGGCGGTGGAATTACTTTGTTATTTATTTATTTATCCTCACCCAAGGATATTTTTTCATTAATTTTGGTTTGTGTG